CTGCTGCTGCCGCTCTGACAAAGAAGACCCCCATCAGGTAGGGTGGAGCCTCGTGAGTTCTGCCTTGCGATTGTTATTCCAACTATCAAAAAGAACCACTCTGACATGAAAAACAGAGCTTGCAGACGTGTGTCAGGCTGATGATATTTCATACTTGATCACAATCTTTTTTTTTTTCTTTTTTTTTCCCCCAGTATTGCTGCCTTTCAAGTTGCCTTACTCTTCCTCCTCCTCCTCCTCCCCTTCCTTGTCGGTGCCTGTAAAACACTGACAGCACTGTCACGACTCTTTGTTTGTCAGCCGCTGCCGCTTCTTTGCAATCTTGGAGGTTTACAAGGTCCCCGAGGGCAGGGCACATTAAACACAGACAGCATGTGTGGTGTTAGTCCCCACCACCCCCACGTGCTCTCCCCAAGGCTGGCTAAACCGGGGGCAGGGGGAGCGAGAGGGGGGCAGGAGCTGAGAGGGTTTTCCGGAGACTGTGGTGTGGAGGGGGGTAACTGGGGGTTAGCAAGTGTGTGTATGTATGTTTGTGTGCTTAGAAAGGGGGTGGGGGGGGGGGAACGACTGGGGTAATTACACACAAGCAGCCGGCATATGCTTCTCATCAGAGCACAAACACCACTGGAGGACTCTTATTTTCAAGCTGAAGCTTTTCCAAGAAGAGGACAGATGCTGGTGGGGGAAGACGCTTACCTGTTACTCTACAGAACTCCGGCTTTCCTGCTCCACGCCTGGCTGGTTTGATAAACTTGATGTGGCATAAAATGGAAGTAAGTTTGACACCCCTTTGACATACTAGCAAAAAGTGGTGCAAACATATAAAGTTCTTTGCAAATAAATATCTGAAAACTGTTTCAAGTATTTAGATTTAGCCTCCTTTAACCCTAATACAATCAACTACAATCAACTGGCTTGAGGATGCTTAGTAAACAGAGCAACCATCAGACAGTTGAGCGATAAAAAGATCTGTTCAACCCACCCATGTGGACATGAAAAGAATCAACAAACACAAACAGCCGCGAGGTGCAAGGAGAGTCTGGAGGAGACAGCAGATAACTTTGGCTTAGGTGTGAGAATCTGTCGATACAATAACCGCAGGTTGTTCCTCAAGAAGAGACGCATAAAACAGAATGTATGAACACAATGAAAATGCAGGAAAAGGAGAACAAAATTTAACTTTTTTGGTTCACACATAGTGTGGCTACGTGGACGCAATCGCCTTCGTGAGGCAGAGTGGTGGCAGCATCATCCTATGGGGAAGCCAAAACTCTTTGGAGCTGACGAGAAGATGCAGCTACATGTAGAAAAATCTCTCAGGTGCTGCAAAAGATTTAAAACAGGGGCAGAAGTTCACGTTCTAAGACGACGACTCTAAACACGCAGCCGGAGCGACAATGAAACGGCTCAGATCAAAGCATATTTATGTGTTGGAATTACCCAGCGAAGGTCCAGACGTCTAGTTAAGAATCTGTGGGATTGAAAATTCCTGCTCACATATGCTTTCCATCTAATCTGTCTGAGCTCAAGTTGTTGTGCAGAAGTTTCACTTTCTAGATGTGCGAAGCTGGCTGGCAGAGACAACAAGTAAATCTGCAAAAATGTGGCTCAACAAAAATATTTTCTGAGGATGCTGAATTTGAATAGGCTACGTCACAGGTTATGATGTAAAGGCTCAGGTGAAAGAAGCGCTTTAAATTCAAATTATCTGTCGCATCAAATCAGAATAAAAATACATTGAAGTTCTTGGCTGTAGCATGACAGAACCTTAAAAAGTTGAATGGGTATTAATACTTTTTTCCCAGGCTTGCTAGTTAGGACATTGTAGGAAATAAACATGTGAAGTCTTTGCAGCTTTCTGGAACCGATTTGTGTCTGATTAGACCGTACCTGGGTCGTGGAAGGGGACCAGGACAAAGTTTTTGATGGGTCTGGTCCTCCGGCTGAGGGTCTTTTCCAGGATCCGTGAGGCCCCTTCAATCACCTGCTTCAGATCGTCGTACATCGAGCCGGTAACATCGAACACAAAGGCCAGCGTTGAGGCACTGTCACTGGGCTCATCAACCTCCTCAAACCGGGGGAGTACCAAGGAGTCTGCCAAGAGTCTGTGCACGCTGATAAGGAGCGCCAAGACCAGGCACTTCAATAAGGAACCGAACATTTTTTTAAAAAAATATTATTATTCCTCCAAAATTTACAGCATTTGTCCACCAGAATAAAAGTAATAAATAAAGCGAAGAAAGAACATAAATGGAAAAAAAAAAAAAAAAAAAATATTTAAATGGCCGTGGGACGGCTCCAGGTAGATGGAAAAGTTCTCTGGAACACCACGGCTCCCCTGAAACGCATCGAAATCGGGTTTGAACAACTTCCACAGCAGAACATCCGTGCGTAAAGTTTGGAGGAGCGTGAGGACTGGCTGTGCGCTGGAGAAAGCCCCAGGAGAGCTGGTGCTCTGACGCTTCAAACCGGGGGCGGAGATGGCATTAAAAAGTTCGCAAGACCCAACCTGCTTTTTTTTTTTTTTTTTTTTTCCTCCGCGTGTGTGTTTGTAACACGACCCCGCTGGCTTAAACAATCCAACATTGAGTTTGATTTGCTCCAAGAATCGCGTGGGGGCCCCTTGTGACAAGGTTTTAGACAGATTTCCGCGCATTACGAGTGGGTCTGCAGTCCGTATATTGAACTCGTTGACAACATTGTCTTAGTAACAGCCGCCTTTTTAAAAATAACCGGGGTTTATATTCAGCTTGACACCGGTCTAATTTTATATGTGGTCCCCGCTGAGAAGTGGCCTCTTGGTGAGTGGAATATCAGGGTCCTCCCATCTCCATCTAGGTAGAAATGTTAGATTATTAATCACGACAGTGTTTTTATATATAAATACAAATTTAATTAATAAGAAAAAAAAAGACAGGACTTACCAAGCTATTCGGCGGTGGTTCTAATAGAAATTAGTCTGGTGCTTCATGTAATGAATGGATATTTGTATAGGTACAATTAAAATGTCTTAAAATGTACAATTAAATGTACAATTAAAATAAAGAAGTGAAATAATTAGGAGAACCTCCTGCAGGCTGGACATATGTTGCAAAATATTAAGAAATTCCAGAAAAAAATAAAGAAAATGCTTTTTATATTTATCAAAATGCCGATTTTGGACATCTTCACATTTATATGCACGTAAAATGGCTAAAAAATCACACAGACATTTTGAAGGAGGGTCTGAAAGTCAGACATTTACGTTGGCAGCCAGTCAAATTGAAAGAGCTGTCTGAGAACTTTAGAAAGAAAATTGAAGCATGGTAAGGGGTTTAAAAGTTGAAATACTCAACAAGTGGTTAACATTTGCAAGCCTGACCAGATCTGAGCATCCCAGTACGTCACCTCCAATAAGCAGACAGAAAGATGTTGACAGAAGTGTCCAAAGAGACAACTGCTACTTTTGCACAATAAGAAAGAGAGGAATGTACAGACTAACATTTCCTTTAGAGAATGTGGACAAGACCAGGACGGAGTCTAAAGCTGTATATTTGGACACCAGAACAAAATACAACATTGCAGGAAAATAACCTAATACCAACTGTGAGGCTGGAAGTGTCATGATTTGCTGCAGCAGGACTGGCCCAGCTCACCCTCACAGAATCCACCTTGAATTCTGACATGTACCAAAATGCATGCTGGAGGAAATATGTGCCCATCTGTAATAAAATGAAAACTGAAGCAGGAATGAACCACTTTAAACTGGACCACGAGGCTAACTACTGGGGAGTGGGGCGTCCTAACTTTGTTTAGAGTTAGAAAACATTTTTAGACATAGATAATTTTGTTCTTTACATTTATTTAAAGCAACTTGTATTCTGGAAAAAATAGGAAACTGAATATTTAGCAGATTTGTTTTCACATGACTGTGTATATCCTTGTGTATAAGTTTCAAATATCCTTAGATAAGTGAAGGATAGTGTAGTATAAGTAAGTGCTGTCACATTTGAGTTGCAGCAGAAATAATTTTGCAACAACAGAGCATATCTGTGGTGTATATGGTATGTGGGATGGCTGCACCAATTCAAAGTAAATTAAAAAATTCAATGGCAAGCTAGGCTAGCTGCTGATCACATTGAGCATGGACAATTTTACTATATCAATGTAAAACGTAACACTTTAGTTTAGCACAGAAATAAATAGATGCTCGATAGTGACTGAATAATGCAAACAGGCAAAAGAAGACTTGCTTGCAAATGTTCTTGCTGCCCCCATTAGCTGTGGCGCCCTGGTTAGTGAGCCACAATACAAATATCGAGAACAGTTCCAGCATTACATGAATGTAAATGGGTGATTGTTCTCCTGCAAAGCATGTGGTGGAGAGCCAGTTCATTTTCCAAACACAAGGCCGGTGCTTCACTTTCAAACACACTCGTGTTTTACTGCACTTTTTAGTATCACATGCTACAAATACAAAAAGGCTTCGACTTTAAAATGACAGAACAGTCATAAATCTGGACATTTCTTCCTTTTGGTATGTCATGCACCGGTCTTTGATGAGAAAAAATAACAGAAAGTGACTCAATCCCGGCGAGGCCGAGAGGCTCAAAAGCCGCCAGGCGGCATCAAATCATCCATCACTGCCACATGCCACAGTTTCATGTACTTCATTGTTCATTAGTTGTACAGTGCAGGTTTAGTAAGCTGGCACATCAGAATCTGTGTTGCAAAGCAATAACAGGCACTAAAGCTTAACATGACACTTATTACGTGATGTTACACAGTGGAATACTGAACCCAGAACATGTCCTGTATTTTTTTTTTTTTGCCTTAACGCAATCTGTGCAAACTTGAGTAATATTCTCTAAATAGGAATATAATCAAGGTAATTTAAAATTCTACATTTGAACAAAAGTTAATCTACAAAGCCGTCCCTTAAATGCATCCCAAATACTTCTCTATAAAAAAAAATTTAAACACTTTTCTACTCATTCCAAACTAAAATACAGAAATATAAATATTAGCCACTTAAATGCATTTTATTCTGTGCTTTTACACTGTCTAACAGATAAATGACAATCATAATCTAGTAAATTATAATCCGCATAAGGCAAACAACTATTAGTGAAGCAGATAAAACACCAAAAAATGTTCTAAAATAAATAATCTAAATATAAAAAGAAGGAAGAATCACATGCTCTGGCCTCACACATTGCAAATATCATGTAGACACTTGCAACCACGGCGATCTCAAAAGCTTTACAACCAAAACTGACGTCTTGTTTGCGCCTCTCAGCGACCCGGGCTTTGTGTTGCCAAGGGTGGAGTGCGGCGCTCTCAAAAAAGAAAAACGCTCGGCCTCAATTCTGATGTAAAGCTGCGGGAATGCTCTCCGTTGTTCAAGCCGTGTCATTCAGGATGCAGTTGTGCAACGGGGTCAACAGCACACACTCATGCTAACGGGGGGGGGGGGGGAATTGAAAAACAACGGGGGGCCCGGACGGCAAACGCAATAAAAATCATCCATAGAAAACTCTGTGCTGCTTAAACATTCCTCTTCTCTCAGAACTAACCTCTGAATGGGAGAAAAAGAACGCTCCAACAATGGTAAGGAAAAATACAGTGCAATACATTTCGACACCTTTGATAAAAAATAAAAATAAAATAATCGTTCTATATTTATGAGAAAAGTCTCATAAATGCAGCAAAGCAGAAAATAAATTACCATTGTATGTACATTATAATATATACACTATAACTGCTTTGTAGCTTTTAAGTTAGTGTTTGTAACACATTATTTCCAGAGACTTAAAGTATCTCAATGCGGAGGCGAAGAGGCCGCGGCAACAGCACAGTCCCTCTGAGCTGTTCTGGTGATTTACGGCGTTTAGACGAGAAGAACGCAAGCGTCGTTGAGGGATCCCGTTCCTCGGATTGTCCGACACTTCGCTCCCAGAACACGGAAACGTTCGAACACAGTCCACAACGCCGCTGCAGGGCTGCAGAAGCACTGAGCGATGACCGAGGGTGAGGGCAGGCATTCCTCGTTACATCAGAAGAATTTTGTGTTTGATGTCCTTTTTTTTTTTTTTGCGAATGAACGCAATCAATTGGACGATAAAAGTTTGTAATCCTCCCTTTCGGGTTGATCAGGATGTGACGGAACGGCGTTGGCGTGCAAAAAGCAGGAGGGCGCTGAATCGGACCCCCTCTGAAAAAGTTGCAAAACGGATAATCACTGCGCTGAAGACGGAGTGCGGCGTCGTAATACCTGGATGCTGGAGAACAAGCAAACAGAGCATTTACACAGGATGCATATGTCTTCATGAGCTCACTTCACAGTTGACAAAACACTGAGCAGGATGTCAGCCACAATTGGCAGCAGCCAGTGCATTACATTAGGCAGTGAGATGTTTCCATCTTTATTCAGCGCTGCGACAATATTACGCTGCCAGTAAACAAGTGGGCCATTTGAATAATTCATGAGGACAAACTGAGAGCAGACAGTGGCTTTCCTCTGTTTTGCGTCTTCCACAGTCGGCTCTGATGGAATAGGAACTTCACTGTTTTAGCAGAGATTGTGACGTAACACCTGGGATCAGAGAGGAGCTGAGGAATGGTCCAGCTCGTATGTTTTTGTTTTGTTTTGCTTTTTTTCCTCCACTCACCTTACATTTCTACACAAGTCCGTCATAGAGTGACAGTGCCTGAACAATGGAAGGGTCTGCCTTTGACCCTTCCTGAAACTCCTGCAGAGTCAGCTTCCCATCTGCATTCTGCAACAGGAAACACAATGAGACTGAAGCTTTGAAATGATCAACAAACCAAAAAAAAAAAAAAAAATCAGGCAATGCTACCGTACTGTTTGGCCATGTTATGCACTCAGTCACTTTATTCTGGTTAAGGGATGCATGATATATCGGCGGTACTAGCAACAGCATCAGCCAATATTAGTCATTTTTGATCGATATCGGTCCATCTTGTTGCCGTCTGTTTTGGTCATGTGGTATTTGTTTGGTAATATGACATTAATAGTGATGCAGCAAGGGATTGTGGGAAGTTTAAATGAACCTGGTTCGGTAATATCGGTAAATATTGCCTGTAGGCCATAACACCTACATATTGGTGCATCCCTGTGCTGATTTATCCCAAAGAAATCCCAATGAAAAACGTTTAATACATTGAAATTGCCATAGTTTGCCATATAAACTCTTGTAAAGTGGTAAAATGAGACCAGGTTCAGAGCTAGTTTATTATTTAGCAGCAACTGTATTGCTCCTGCTTTATGCTGATTAACTGATGTTGAGTTCAGTGAACCTTGTTGCTGATAGACCCGTAGTCCTGTCGGCTACAGCTGGCAGTGGTGAGTTGCATCTCACCTTTCACTACAGCTGAGTGGATTCCTAGGCCTGAGAGTGTGGGCACTGACGGCCAGTGCTGAAGATGACTATAAATGACGTTTATAGACTGCAGTGTTAGTGATACTGCTCTGGGTACAACCACCAGCTCTAAGCTTCAGTCTCTGTAGCTCTTAGGGTAGCAACAAAGGCAAAATTAGCCCAGGTAATGCTAAATGAATAATTATTGCTGGACTTATCTGTGTCAACTAAAGTTTGATGCTAGGAGGTCAAATAAAAGGCTACATCATAAAGTGTAATAATGCTACACTGACCTTGTCCATCATTGCAAAAATACGGTCCACTCTCTTTTCTGGTGTGTTTTCTTCCTCTGGTAGCTCCACAGTGTTTCCCTGAGACAGACGTTGCATAATTATCACTCTAGCAAATCAGGACAAGGAAAAAAAGATGTGGGCCCCATACTTACCACCATTTGATATATAGCATCTACAATGTTTAACATTTCATCACGAGTTATGTAGCCGTCGTTGTCGAGATCATACAGTTTAAAGGCCCCTGCACAGAGAAAAAAAAGTAATAATAAAGGTTTGAAAAGGTGATTTTCACATTTTGTCGTAATTTAATCACAAATTTTGAATGTTTTCAGATTTTATGCGATAGATCGACATAAAGTGGTGCATCTGGAAAGCAAAATTATTTGTCTGCAAATAAAAATCTGAACTGTTGTGCGCATTTGTATTCAGCTCCTCTTTACTCTGACACCCCAGATGAGCAACAGCTGAAGTGAGACAATCTGTAGACAGGACAACTACTAGCTGTGTACTCCAAAAATCAAAAATCCTACGTGTTTTGAAAAACGAACTGCACGTCGATATGAAATGCCTTGATCATAGGGATGAGTGTGATATTGACAAAACATTTTATTACGATATTTTATAGCATTTACTATAATGTAATAATGATACAAGTCATAATACAAAGAACTTACATTTAAACAAGTACAATAAACTGATCAAATCATATTTTCATTAAGAAGCATAATGATGTCTGAAGTCTGTGTTCTGCGACTTTTAGACGTCTCTCTGCTTCAGCACACCTGGCTCCAATATTAGCGCATTAGCAAAGCTCTGCAGGGCCTGACTGCATGCTAGGGAGGCAATTCAGCCTCAGTTTGTATGGAATTGAATAATCACAACGTCACGCTGTAGTGATACTCGTTTCAGCAGCGATAGCACAGCCGGTCAGGTTTGATGATGAAAGGCATGGAGCTAAATGCAGTTTAGTGGAATCTGGGAAAGAAGCCTGCAGGGAGCTGCAGAAGAATTTAGACAGGGCATGGACTGACTTTCCAGCAGGATGACAAAACATACAGCCAGAGCAAAAATAAAATGGTTTAGATCGCCCATCTAAACCACTGGGCCATTCTAACACACAGTTGCAGTGTGTTAGAATGGCCCAGTCAAAGTTCAGACCTAAATGAGAGTCCAATCAGTATAAAAGAAGTCTTTGAATTTCTCTTCACAGGCGCTCTCAAACCAAATTGAGTTTTTGTTATTTTGCCAACTTCAGAATGTGGTTCTACAAAATATGAACTCAGGGCAGCTGAATACTAATGCACGCCACACAATTTACTGACTTTTACTGGTAAAAAAATTCCAAAGCCATATATAATTTTTCATTCACTTCCTAATTATACACTTCTTTGTGTTGGTTTTCCATGTGAAGTCCTAATAAAACTCACTGCTCTTAGAGGTTGTAACATGAAAGAGGGGAGTGAATACATTTTCAAGCTGCTATAAAATTTTTAGATCACATTAGTTTTAATGAAACAGATATGGTTAGAATTTGACCAATATGTTTTTTTTTGTTTGTTTTTATTTTTTTTTTATTTTCAAGATGCTGAAAGTTTCCTGAAGACACATGGTAATCTTTTACAGTCGGTGCTCCTTTGAACCCACCTGTCCTTTTTAATACGTAAAGCAGCCCAATTAAAGCTAAATCCTGTCATTTCAAGGTGAAAAACAGAGAACAGTTCCTTCTTACATCTGAGCTTCTCATCCAGAGTCCCCCTGGAGGTCACTGACAGGGCCTGGATGAACTCGGAAAACTCGATTCGTCCGTCCTAGCGAGCGACAGAAAACAGACGCAGAATGTAATTAGCTCTAGACAAGAAGACCATCCCACATCACATTTTGTGTAACTCTAACTTTAATGAACTCCGCCCCCCCTCCGATCCTCCTCCTCCTCTTCCTCGTTCTTTCATGCTGTCCTTCCTGCATTGTGCTGAAAACTGGGCCAGACGTTTGCTCCAACGGAGCTGCTATTTTTCGCCCTGCACCTGGCTCTCTCCTGAGGCTGAAATATGTCACCTCTGGTCATTAGCGAGACGGATGCTACTGGTTCATCTTCTTAAGACTCCCACCTAACGAACACAATCACCGGGTTTTGGTGGCCAGGATGTTACAGATTTTTTCCCAAACATTCCTCATCTTGATTGATCGTGGAGGATCATTTTGTTAAACAAGGGAGAAACTTCACTCCGATTTGGACGTTTCAGCTTTTGCACAGTCTTAAATGGCCGCATCTGCATTCAATTTTGGAATTGGGGTCTTAATACTGTTTATTTTTATTTTTCCCCCTGTGTGGCTGGACTTGAAGCAGAAAATAGAATGGAAGACAGTCAAAGTTGACACAAGAGATGAAAAGTAGATCAAATCCTACATAGTCTTGAAACGTAAAATTGTCTCCTTTAAAAAAAAATGCATAAAAGGAAAATTCCACACACAATAATGGAAATTTCAGGATTTAGCTTCATATTGTGGCTAGAAATAGTAAAGGCCACAGCTGCATGACAAAGGGTTTCCCACATTCCTTCACAACAGACATCTACCTGTATCCTTCCACCCCCACGTCAGGAAACAGTCAGGCACTCTCGGTGGTCTCTGAGGTCAGTTAATTTTATCTCTACTAGACATCTGCCTATCTAAGAAAAATGCTGAAGTCATGCGCTGCCAGTGACATAAGCCATAAAACCAAAGATCAATGCATTCTCTGACTACGGGGTGCCTAACACCAATGTGAGTCAAAGATAATCATCAGACGTGCCGGGGTTTGTCTGATCCCTCCAACAAAAAGCCATTTATCTGCAAGTCAATAAACCTCCAGGGGGCACACAAGCACCCTGGGAGCTGCTGGCTTATTGTTCCTCTGCCTAAACATAATCTGAATAATTATTTGCAGCTGTCATGTTGGGTTGGTTGTTCAAATATACAAGCAACATTTTGGCCTTGCTCAAACTTGCACGAATAAATAAGCAACTGTTTGATTCTAACAGAAATAATGAGAACAATTGGAAAATACCAAAAACTTAAAGAAGAAAAAACAGTGTGTGACAGAGAGTTCATTAACTGGTCTTAAACAAGTCATAGTAACTTGTCGTATAGGGTGAACCATGGAGATGATGACTGGAGGACATCATCCATTCACTTGTAAACGATCAGTGTCAGTGTTCCTGACTCATCATCACCTGTTGGTGCTCAGCTGTGTGTAATCCAGCCGAGCCCCAAACGAACAATGTCTCATTTTGCTCAGCCAGGTTCTAAAAAAAAAAAAACACACCCTGGATTTTGTATGCATAGCTTGTTAAAGTGCATTATAAGCCACAAGGGTATTTTGTTGATGTAACAAATCTAAATCGCCCCTAACAACCCATGTCTTTTTAAACCGCTGTAATGACATTTACAGGGAAATAGAGACTATAATGGCTGATTTAGTTCCTTGACGACCTGCTGTGTGGTGTGCTGTTGGTGTAGGGAGGTTTGTGGAGAGAGCAGATCCACAAAAAGGTTTGTTTCTAATAGGAAACCAGACAGGCATCTCTCAACAGGTAAAACAGAGTAAAAGAAGAATCAATTTTGAAAATAAAAATGAAGTTTCAGTAACATTTTATTATGAAATGGGGGTTTTTTATAGCCATTTCAAATTTTTAAACACTTTATTGGCATTACAATTAAACCATTCTTAAAATATAGAAAAAACTTCTTAAAATATAGTGCATGCAAATGTAATGTTTTACTAAGAGAAAGTCCAAAACGCCTGTAAAAAGTCTGTTATTATGAGAATGTTTTCAGGATTTTGTCGGAAACGATTAAACGCTTGGTAGCCATTTTCTCTAAGTTATGTAAGGCAACTGAAATAATAATGTGGATGCTTTAAACTCCAGTACTTGTGAGTTAAAATCTATAACAGCCTTGCACAGTACACTTTGATCATATTTTGTCAAAGGACTCCACTCCCTTTAAATGCAGTCGACAGTTCAGTTGAAAAGAGTCTGAATGAAGAGCATTCTGCAAAAAAAGAAAGAAAGAAAAAACACATGCCCTGTGCTTCTAAGAAAAAGGGCAAAACATGTTCCAGGAACTACAGCATGCTCAAAAAAAAACAATTAGATTTTATAAATGCCATTTATTAAGTGGCAGCGCAGAGAAAAAGAGCCTAGAAAACCACCAACCGTTGCTTTTAATTTAATTTCAATGCCTTATTAGTGTCTTAAATTCTGCACAATATGAAGTACAAACCTTATTTTCATCAAATACATTAAAGACGAACGAAGCAAACTTGGTGGGGTCTCCGAAAGGAAAAAACTGCTTGTATATCTTCTGAAAGCCCAAAGCATCCAGCTGGCCACTGGGACAATCCTTGATGAAGCCTTTGTACCTGAAAAACAAAATCAAAATATTAAAACAAAAAAAAAAAAAAAGAAGTATCAAAACATCAGTCTTGCAATCAGATAATCATCAGGCTCCAACTGGGCAGCGGGCTGAAGTCACCTCGTCACCTCAACGACAAGCGAGCGTGACTGATTCAGCATGAAAAAATGTGCCAGACCAAAAAGGTAAAGTGCAAAGCAATTTGTCTCATTCATAGATAAGATGATCACTCTAATCCAATAGCGAGCCCAAGGTGGTTAACGCTAATCAAATTCCTTTCTGCTTCTCTTTGATAATATGTGGAGCTGATAGATAAGTCGGAGAGCTTCCTCTCGCTCCTGGAAATGACATATCTGGAGAACGACTTAACATCTCTATTAGCCTAAAAATAGAAGCATCTCATAAGCAATTTGAGGCGCAGTCACTCAGAGGTAGGCTGTCTCCAGGACTGCTTTTGTAACGGAGAAAACAGCCATCGAGGAATCAAACCAACAGCTCAAGGAACAAAATAGAGAGTGTTAGTTTCTGTAAAAATAAATGTTAGATGAGTGGCAGAAGGAGGACGTAGAGGAGGATTACCCCTCTAGCTACATAAAACATTGCAAAACTGATCAAGTACACACAGGAGAGCACCGCATGTGCATCTCCGATTCTGTTAAGGCTTCTCAAAATGAGGCCGGTCTATAATTAAAGCACAGAAGAGCTTTGAAGAAGACCGAAGGCCAGCATGGAGCTTCTCCGTGCACACACACTGAGTCCTTCCTCTTCTTACACGCTTTACTTTTAATCTGCCTGGGAGATAACAAAGCCAGTTTCGTGTAAGTCCAAAAGATGGGAAGCTGCTTTGAGAAGCAGCTAGGAAAAAAAAGTTAGTTTAGCAAGAAGAGGAGCGAGATGACAGCAGAACGATGTAATATGAATTATCTGGAGATGATGTGCAGTGAAATGAGCGCCTAGCTCACTATGGTGAAGTATAACCTCATTGGTATTCAAAGTGCAGGAGACACAAAGCGTGTCCTAATCCAAAGCCAAACCTCTTTGTGGGAATCCGTCAGTCATTCTTCTATCTTCTACGTCTTTTTTCCAGTCTTTCTATAACTTCTATTTTATATTGCCTATAGTGACATCCACAGTGTTGAAGCATTAAACATTGTTTCTCTTTTTGCACTGTTACAACCACAAGCTTTAGTGTATTTTACATAATGGACTAACACAAAGTTTGTATAATTAAGTAGAAGAAAAATGGCACATTTCCAACGTTTTTACATCTCTAAAGTATTTATACTCAGCTCCTCTGAATCAATAGATTGTAGAACCTTTGTAAAAGATTTTCTGTCTTTGTTCAGCTCAGGTATGGTCAGACATGATGGAGTGCGTCTGGACTTTGACTGGGACAGCAGATGTGACCTCTTAACAGATCTTCTTCCAGGATTGTCCATTATTTACCTTAATGAATCATCTAATAAACTGTGATAAGCTTCCCTATCTCTTATACCCGCAGCCTGATGCTGCCACCACCATTTCTAATAGCTTCCTTTCGATAACAGCTTTCTTCTCCTCAGTCTTCCATGAAATCTAGATGTTACATGTCCTGACAATGTAACGTTTTATGTTTTCATTTGCGTAATACTTTTCCATATTCAGGTGATGAGCTGGCTTGTGCGTTGTAAAATCCAAAACCTTTGTCTTATGACTAGGAAGAGTGCACCGGTTGCAGTATTCTGGCCGATCTACGGTTTTTAAAAAGCTTGACCTGCCGATTCTGATTTTGGCAAATATGGATTTTTAAAATTCAATTTAACACTTACATGTCGGGCGATAGCTAATCTCCCAAAATTAAGGAAATCGTGGCGGAATTTTCAGTTTGCCAATTTATTGGTGCACTCCTATTTATAACCCATCCCTGATTTAAACTTCTCCTAAACTTTATTTCTATCATGTTCCTTTGTCCTGATGACGCTGCTGTTCTCTAATGTTCTCTAACAAACCTCTGAAGCCTTCACTGAACAGCTGGATTTATTCTAACGTGAAATATACTCAAGCAGACGTAATTATTTCGAGTTGAACTGCACCTGTTAGGGGTATCACATTATAGGGGGTTAAATACAAATGGATACAACTCAATTCAGTCATAACTAAGCACTACATACGTTGTGCTGGTCTATCACGTCTAAATAAAGCACATGGATGTTTTGTGGTTGTAACGTGAAATAACATGGAAAATAGCAAAAGACAGGAATACTTTTACAAGCCACTAAATTACAGCTGCTGTTACAAAATAAAAATAAAAAATAAAAATACTTTAAATATATATAAAAAACAACTGATAACCAGGTTTAGCTTCTTTTGTGATTAATCTTAGTAAATTTATTATTGATGAGCCAACACAGAAACTATTTATCTGGCTATTGCTTACTAAAGAGACCAGCAGCGTTCTGCTTAGTAGCAACAAAATATGCAACAAACACAGAAGTAGTAATGATTGAAAAAACGTGTGTTTCATTGGGATTACAAAATACTATTTAAATTGATGAACACTCTCATTACAGAGCAAATAAAAATAGATCTAAATGTGGTCTTTAGATTTAAATTGTTCTACAAAAAAAATTGTGGCTTTTAACAAGTAAATTCTGCTTATTTTCTCTATTAATTTATCAGAAGTGATAATTACTAGTCTATGAAAACAAATCATACAATCGATTCTCAAGGTTTGCAAAAAACTGTATTGTTGTTTATATTATCATAAATTCTAAAAACAAACAAACAAAAAAAAAAAGAAATGAAATAATTATGCCCAAGTATTCCCATCTGTTAATGTGTTTTGTGCCCTCTTGTGGACTAACAGACAAAAGCAGGTACAGTTTATTCAAACTTTTTCTTCCTTTTATAAGAAAAACAAACAAAAAAAATATTTTCATCACCAGACAGAGGGATTCCATTTAGTAAACCGCAGGAAGAACATACTAATGAAAAATATTCTTCTGGAAAACTCTTCATAAAAAGAGTTAAATTTAAGAACTTGTACAGTCTGCTATGCTCTACTTTTAGGCAAAATGTGTTTTTTTTTATATATATTTCTAATGAGTTATATCTAAAAGGGGAACTGAATCTCTTAAGTACTCCTTTGTTATTTGCCTTAAGAGTGCCAGAAGCATGGCTTACTTTCAACATCTTCACAGCACCTTAATGACTGTCACTTAAAAAAAAAATCTTACTGCACTTTTACAACAGAGACAGATCTGCAAGATAAAATGATCGAACTCGTGCTGCAGAACCAGAGAATTTCAAGAACTAAAAATAAAAAGAAACATTTCTTTTCAGAGGCTCACAAACAAGCTTCAAATTATTCATAGGCTCAGGCAAATAATAAAAAAAAACTAAATTTATTTCTGATTTTAAAAAAAACAAGGCACACACCTCTCAAAAGATAAAAAAAAGAAATTAAAAGAATGTTATTTTTTTATATAAAATTGGATGTTGAACATTATGTAAACCCTTCTCAACAATCGACGTTATTCTTCTTACAATCGAGTTCCAGTTTTTAGCATGAGTCCTCTAGGATTTTTACTATTTATATTTGTTGATGAGCTTATAGTCTTTGAGGTTGGAAGGCCTCCTTGCCATCACCCTAATCTTTAGCTCCCTCCATAGATTCTCTACCAGTTTCAGCTCAAGACTCTGGCTGGCTCGAATTAAAATTACTTTACATGAAAGATGATGGTAAAATTAAAAGATTACTTTACAACTAAATCTGCCAGAGTACGAATAATTTTTGAGTATAACTACACATGGCTGGAGCAACATTACCAGAACCACAAAATCTTAGCAAAGTAAATTTAATACAATTAGAAGAAATAAATAAGCTGTGTGTTAAAACACAGAGAACCTGGCAAAGGTATTAAACTTTTTTCTGCATGTTCTCACATTACAACCACAAAATTCCCTCCTCTTTATTGGGATTTTTGTTTTGTTTGTTTTTCCGTTATATTATAAAACAATATCCCAAGCTTTGAACATCTCATGAATGTTCGGTCTATCATCTAAAAATAGAAAGTATGGCGTAACCACAAAGCCTACCAATACACAGTAGAAAAACTGTCAGAAGAGGTTAAAGCAGAGGAGCAGAAGAGAGGTTTATGCCAACTCTGCAGGACCTGGCCAGGTTTGATGGGAAGATGGAGGTAAATAAAAAGTCCTGACACTGGAGTGGCAGTTCAACTATCGCAACATCCATACAACGAAATGGTTTAGATAAGGGCTTTTCAATGGTGGGGGAGAGAAATGAGATTGAAAAGAATAAAAATAAAAAAGCTAACTTCCCCAAGCATACGCCAGAGACAAAAATGGGCAGATTTTTATTACCCAATGCTACGGTGAGTAAGAAGACAGAGTTTAGTCTAAGCAAAAAAAAAAAAAAAAAAAGAACTGCAGAAAGCATGAGAATGATTACCTAAAGTTGGGTTTTCTATCTAAAGATGCTGCAATGTCACACCAAGCTAAATGGACTGTGGTCATAGCGGAAAGTAGTTCATACTTTTATCAATGTAAATGACGAAGCAAATGAAGCATCGCATGTGGTGCTGCTGCGCTTAAACCTCAGAGAAACAAGCATGAATGGAACATCAAGTTAATGCAACAGCAAAATGTTGAAAGATGATATAATAACACTAATGTAGTTGGGGAAGGGCACAGTTGTTGCTTTGCACTTTGCCACGGGGCTAACTCTACCACACTCTGAAAATCCCTGGTTTAGATCAAAGCTTGTTCGTCTATTAGAATGGTCCAGTCAAAGTCTATTTAAAAACATGCAGCAAAACTTAAAATTTGCAGTTCACAGGCACTCTCGACCCAACCTGACTGAGTTATTTTGTGAAGATGAATGAGTCTAAATGTCAGCTTCTGTGTGTGCAGACCTACAAACTCAAGGGGGATGAATATTATTCTTTTTTTTTAAGCAATAAAAATGTCACTTTTACCTTTAAAGTTTGCAGTTGTACTGTTGGGAAAAGTGTGAAAATGCTTAAGGGGCATGAATGGTTAAGCGCCGTACATTTGTTTGCATTTTTAATTAAATAAACCTTTTTATTTGAGTTGATTTGTCACACAGTGATCAGATGTATTTGTTTTACTCCTGACATCAGGGACTTAACCACATTTGCAAAACCAGTTCTATAAAGTGAACATACAGTCCAGTGTTGCTCCAGTGGGTACAGTAAGCAGTGCACCATGGAGTAAACATGTTTTCACTGTCAGCTATTTGCCAGGAACGCATCGTGTCCGACAGATCTTCGTGGTGACACTAGTGTTAGCCCCCCCCACAAAGTCAGACTGTACTTGATGCAGTGTGATGCTGCAACGTCTAGAAACATAGCAGATTCGGCGTACAGTATCAGACCCCGCCGACAGTGATAAAGTATTTATTATTGGCACCAGCAACCTCTCATTGGCATCTAGCATGGTGGCTGGCTAAAGAGCAGGACGTTTCCTTTGCTCCCGCCTCGCTGGCAGGCACATCACTGAGCCATGGGATTTTGTTATTGATTTCAGGTAGGCCTCAGGCATACTAATGATGTTCCCCTTGGAGGAGAATTAAAACGGGAGCAAACTTAATGCACAACACAGGCATTTATCTAACCCTGCTAATTCTTCTGTGTCTGTGCCTGTGCTCTAATTACATGCCATCTGCCATTTCCCCTGGTAAAATTCCCTCTCATCCCTCACACTTGGCCGTGTTGATTGCTGCTGATCTAAGAGTGAGGATTCATGCAAAAAAAAAAAATCTCTGTGAACGACACGGAGGGTGATGGTGAGCTAGCAGGCTGCGCAGCCGGCAGGGTGGAGGTTTGAGGGTTGCGGGGAGATGGGGGGGGTTTCCACCCCATTGCACTCGGGCAGCCCAGAGACTCTGGAACTTTCAGCAGCGATATCTACAGTGCAGTCGCTGTTGTTGTTGCTGCTGCTGCTGCGTGGCCTGGCTCCTTCCCTCCGTGCAGCTTCTAAGGGGAGACAGGAAGGGGGGGTGCATGGGAGGCAACTAGCTCTCGAGTCGCAGCTCCTTTCATGCATGCACAAGTTGATGGTGAAATGCGAAACCAAGCCAGAAGAAGTGAAGTGTGAAGATGGAGTGATCACTTCCGTACAGTGGTCTCTCTCCTATGATAATCCCTGTTCTTTGTTTTAACTGAGGGCAGACAACAAAGAGAAGTGATGACTACTCATGCTCGAGTCGAGTCATCTCTGTGATGAAGCTGCACTTTCTTATGCATGTTAGCAGTGTCAGTGACCCACAACAACTTTAAATTCCAATACTGTCGATCATCTTCTCAATAGTCTCTCCTCTTCTGGTCCAAAGTAAACGAGTAAGAACTGTGGCAAAGAAACCGCACCAGGACGATGCTGGTAGAAGTCACACTGACTAATAGCTACAAAAACTAACAGGAAGACTTACTAATCTGAAGGTTTGTGAAGGTTTGATGCCAATGTACAACACTTTGTAACAATATTCTTACATTTTACACTTTTATAGGTTTTGTCCTGTAGTGATCCCAAAATATTTTACTGGAAAAAAAACAATGCATAAGTAAGAAGAGTGTAAAATAAATTTGTTTTTTTGTTATTTAATTAAAATTTGAAAAATGTGGTAAGTGTCTCTATTCTGATACTCCTCCCATAGAACACCGTTCAGTTCACTTTACTGACTGAATGTAGAAGAGAATTAATGAGAGAAGAAACAAAGACTCTGGAGGAGCTGAAGAATCCAGAACTAATGTGGCAAAATCTATCTACATGACAACCTTTAGATATGCATTTGATAAATCTGAGGATAGCCACTGATGAAAGAAAAACAAAACATTTATGCATTGCAGTTTGCCACAAGTTTTATGATCAAAATTTAGCTTTTTGGCCAACATGCAAAATGCTGCGTGGTGAAAAAATAACTAGAGATACACTGATTGCAGTTTTGTGGTGGATCTTTAAAACGACTGACCTGCCAATTCCAATTTGGCTGGTACTGATTATTTTGTGTGAAAAGCTACAAAATATAGTGTCAAAGTCATTAACTTGGGAACTGCACACGTGCAGAAATGATCTGGAGGGCGTTTCTGTCAATCAGCTCTCTCTTACAGCAGAGGAAAAGGGGACAGCGGCTGGTCTTCAGATCTTTGCAAAGGTAGACAGTATCAGTGCATAAGATCACATATGTAGTGGAAGTCAACAAAAACCCAAAATAAAAAAAAATTGGCCCAATTTATTGGTGTACTCCTAAAAATAACACTTCATCCAAAATTGTAAAATGATGGCAACATCATCCTGAAGCTGGTCAAAGTGAACCACTTTCTGAATGGCTAGAACTAAATACAGGGTAATAGTGGAAGAAAACCAACAAAACACTTGAAATTGAGATGGAAGATTACCTTCTAGACAAGATACTAAAAGTTAAGGATGAAGAAGTGCCACACATAACCCCAGCTGTAAATGCAAAAAAGGTAGTTCTTTAATTGAATAACTTAAAGGTGCTGAAAAAAAATCAATCATTTAATAAATTGCACTACTTTGTGTTTGTCTATTATACTTTATAAAATTCCAATAGAAGATCCAACAATTTGTGGTTGCAATGTGGCAAAATATGAAAAAGAAAAATCACAGGGTGTAATTACTTTTGCTGTATTCACGAAAACCTTCAAAATGCAGCGACCTTACAACCTCTGTACCCCCCGCACCATTCCTCTCTTATCAGACATCCCGTTTGCAAACAGAGTGAAAAGGTTAGGGAGGAACGCATCATGGAAATGTTTGTATCTGTTTTATCAGCCTTCAAAGTCATTTAGCCACAGTGATGCTTCAGAGTTGTTCTATTTTCAGAACTCATCTGTCTTCAGGGAAGCGTGAGGGAGACGGCTTCAAATCTACTGTAAAAACACTTTTCATAGACTGACAAAAACCAACTCCTGGACAAAAGCACACCAAAGTGAGATCCGCTAATGACCCCTGTCAAAAGTTTTGATATATTATCATCATCAAGTAACAACAGGAAAAAGTCTCATTAAAAATAAATGTACACACTTACCACTGCTGTACTTCTTTCTCTGTGACTGTAAAAGACAGAAAAAGAAAAGTGGCATCAGAAAGAGATTTTTGTCCTAGAAAAAATAGCCTAGTAGTTAATCATCTTGGCCTAAACCTTTCCAACACATATCCACAGACAGAGCACAAAAATAATCAGCCCACATGCAAATATTGGAAAGTAGCACTGTTTCACTCAAAGAGGAAGCAATTGATTGTAGCGCATCCAAAGAGACAAGTAGGAAAGCTGGGAAAAAAAAAAAGGTCAGTTAGAATGTGAAAGTCAGCCATAGATTTAGGAGTAAAATACGTTTTAGCAGCAGGATATGTTTCTATGCCCACACAAGCAGCACGATGTACCAGGACCAATGGATCCCACGAGTTTTCCCCTCCACTTGTTACTTTCCCCGAACTAACCGAAGTAATTTTCTGCTTTCTGGCCCCTGGAGTTTTGTAATGAAAATGAGGGTTGAAAATCAATAACTGTATTCTAAGCAAGCCGTCCCTTGAGACTTCCTGCTAAAGTACCACTGCACCACTTCTAGCGAGCCAGAAGTGTTGTGGGGGTCGAACAAGGAGCCTCTAACCACAACTGCCTGGCGTGTTTGTTAAACACTAATATCATCTAATGTCACACTTAACCCAGAGGAACTCTGTCATGGTTTTTACGTCTGTATAAAACATAGAAATGAAAGCAGCAAAGCAGACGTACACCTTCCACACATTTAAACTAATGCTATTTAAAAAGCCAGTACTGGCATTAGATTACACAACATCCAGGAAAAGCAAAAACCTTTTCTGTGAAATGTTCACATTACTTTCCAGAGTATAACAGAATCGCATTAAATCTATTGATAAAAGGCAGCTTTTGCTTGCATTTATGTCCATCTTCACTTGTTCTGCTCGGCTTTTAGCAAAGAAACCCCTCATGTGACCTCTTCCAGGAAAAGAAATATCAGGTCGAGCCCACAATTGACAGGGCAGTCAAGCTACTATTAAACTGGCCTTTAAAATCAGTTCAGGCAAAAAAAAAAAAAGAAAAAAAAAAAATAGAAAGAAAGAAAGAAAGAAACTGAGGTAATTTATCAAGGCTAGAATTATCACATAAAACATTTATTTTAGAACTGCAGAGGTGATGGGATATGGGGGAAAAAAATGTCCATCTTGCCCCTCCCAGACCTGTTGCTGTTGAAATAAGGCTTCAAAAATGGCCATCGATTAGGAGACATAATTAGTATTGTACATATTTAGCATTGTCTGGGAAGTCATTTTCATTTATCATCACATTGATGATGATAATTTTGCTCTTTTTTTCTACGAGAAATTACTTCCTAAACGTTAACGCATTTATAAATATAATTAAATAAAGTTATTCTGTTATGTTTATCAATATATTTGCTCTCCTTATTGAAACATGTAGCCTGTATAGAAATGGGTAAGTTTTGAGTACTTCTGTGTTCATGGAGTTGTGACAAATTGCTAAAAAGTATTCATGGTCACTTTTTATTATCCAAATAAATAGCACAAAATATTGTGATAAAATGTTAAGTCATTACCAACTATTCCTACCCCTCAATTTTTACATTTGCAACTGCAGACTGGCTACCTGAGAAGATAGCCCAGCTAACTAACCAGCTAAGAGTTTATTATACTTCTGTTCCTTAAAAAAAAAAAAAACAATACTTTACACAATAACCAGTTGACCGCTAAATTAAACAAGTTTACTCTGTTTTCTCTTAAATCTACACTTACCAGTCACTTTATGAGGTACATCTTGCTAGTATCAGGCTGGACCTTCCTCTGCATTCAGAACTGCTCTATTTCCTTGTGACACAGATCTTACGAGGTGTTGGACATTCCCAAGGGATTTTGATGCAACAGAATCATGCAGCTGCTGCAGATTTAGCCTCCTTGATACAAATCTCCCTTTCGATGTACTGTACTGAGATCAGGTGACTGTAGAGGGCAATGGAGAACAGTTTGGACATGGTGACTTATCGTAAGTAGACATCAGAAGAATGGCACACAGTGTGTCACAAATAGGCCTGTCACGATAACAAATTTTGCTGGACGATTAATTGTCTAAAAAAATTATTGCGATAAACGATAATATTGTTTCAAGACCTTTTGATACTAATTTAATGGCAATGACTAATAATGCATGCGATTTCCTGCCATAGATAGATAGATACATTTTATTTTCAAAAGAACACATAACACTGGAACTAATAAACTAAATAAACAAAACGACCAAAAACAAAAATAAAATGGATTCTCAGTCTCCATTACCAAAAAACGTACTTTAATAAAAAGTAAACAACATAAAGCCAAAGTGGAAATAAATATTGCATTCAACCAAAAGAGTGCAGATTATGGAGTCTGTATGTGCCCTTCAGTAATCACTAGATTTAAATAAAGAAGATGGGCACATCCGACTACCTAATGCAATAGTTCACACTACACGGCTTTTTTGCCCCTATTTTGTCCTTATGACAATCTTAGATCGTTGGCCGATCTAAGATTCTCGCTGGTGATTTCGTAACCGATCATCCTGCAGTGTGTGGTGAGTTACGGTAGATCGTCGTGGCCGCTCCTATCTAAATCGGGTTTTTCCCCGACTGGGAGCTTAACGCTGAATGTGACAGGTAGCCAATCAGAAAGCGCGGATTCTCCTCCGTGCTTTCTGGGGGAAAGTTATGAGGGGAATCCCAAACAGCTGACACGTCGCAACCCGAAGTCCAGCGGACATCGGAGATGATATGTGGAAACAACATAAATGTTTATTCAACATTTTGTGCAAAGAATATAGAAATGACAAGGGGAGGAGTTGGAGCCAAATTGCTACCGCAGTTGATAAACCCGGTAAGTTTTCAGCTGTTCATCGTTAACCTGACATAAATAATGATTTTCCTTCAGTCAGGACTTTACGCTGACTCTAGCCACATGCATTGCAGGTAAATTCTAGTAAAGCATTGATTAATGCCTGATTTTAAAATTAGTTAACTGGACTTGTAACCATTATTTTGTGCCCATGTGGCTGGACACCACACGGCACGATCGAACCCGATGGAACCGTTACCTAGAGTTTCTATCAGCTAATGTGTCTCTCAGGTTTTGAAAATGGGCCGACAATCGGCGACAACTCCTGCCGTGTGCGCTGGACATTACACTAAGGAAATGAGGAAGGGAGGGTCAGTGGAGAGCACCGGAGTTGAGCCTTTTTT